TAAATAATAAGTTAGCTTTCTTTTACTAACAGTAAAAAAAAAAAAACAAACTTGCTCAAGTAAAATAATAAGAAAATACTTCGTTTAAATAGATCAAATAGCTTTGAACATTATACGTTTCTTAAGCGAGTCCTTTTTATTTTGGAAAATGGCGTTTCGAAAAAACATTATCTACATAGTTGCATTGCTGCCATCTGGCACACTTATGAAGTTATCTAAATAATTATAATTTTTGGCATAGCTAATTGCTATTTACACAGTATATACTAGAAATAACGATTATTATCAACTAAATTATATTTAGAAAGTTTTATATCTGTGAATAAACTTCTACACCTTTGTCTAAATTTTTTACGTTTCTTCTATATAGTATAAGTCCACCTCTCAGAACTCTGTCTTTATTTGAATTTCATTTTCATATCCACGAGTTTCGAAAGTAATGGGTAATTTTAATTTTCTGCTTTTATTTCATTAACAACTCTTGTTGAATCCGAGAACTAATTGTCCTGATTTGTCCGTAGGCATAACGGAATGGGTAATGATCTTAAGGGTTGACCATATCCATGAAAAAAGTAAATATCAAAATAATAAAAAAAAAAACTATTTGTTGAGGACTGGTAATTGGAATTTCTTTTTAAATATATCTGTTTTGATGTTTTTTTTATAATAATCTTTAGACATGTACTTCGACGGCACCTGTTTTGTGGGCAATAGAAGATTTAATGAAAGTATCTTAACGTTTCTATTTCTGTACAAGTGTTGTTATTACGTGATATTTACTATCTATAATAATATTATAAAGAGGAAATGTCTGTTTGCATTAAATACAAAACTATCGGACCTAATTTTAAATTTTTTCTCACCTAGACGAAGCTTCATCATCACGTGGGTATCATAGGCTATAATTTACTCAACTAAAGTTACGGGAAAACTGTTATGTTTACAAATAGAAACAAACATCATATTATTTTAATTATATGAAAATTCAATTCTTATACTTCTTAGAAAACTAAAGAAAAATGATATTCTACAGTATATTTTGAATATTGTGATTTCATAAGATAGTTAATCTTTGATCGGAACTTACGTTTGAAAACTACGCGACACAGCAAGACAATCCGTAACATCAAGTTTCCGTGGTTTCATGAATAAAGGCACAGGGGAGATTCATTAAAAATTCTCTTTGTTAGAGGATTTGCAATACGGTGATCAGTTCGGGCGGTGCCAGTTAGTAACAACACAGTCAAAGGCAAACCGCAGCGCCAAGCAACCAATACAGGGAAACCCATTACCGATAGACTCCTTTAACCACTAACACGGAATCACGGAGGCTTAGCACGTTACCTATACACAATAGGCAATTTAATTCATAAGCCACTGTAGAGCCACGACGCTTTTGCTTAATATTATGACGTCATAGTTTCGTTAGTCTTGGGTAGCTTAGTAGTTAGAGCAGTCGGGTTCGATTTCCACCCCAGAGTATTGAGAGGTGGATTTTTAAGCATTTCTCATTAATAATATTTTCCGGTGTAGCATTGTGAATGCAAAATTTATCAAATGTAATAATCATAGTTTGACATTTTTGCATTTTTGATCTAGATTAAATGTTTGATAACCCTATTTAAGTGAGTGATACACGACTGGTGGCTTCCTTGATATTGGTAGTAAGCGACATTTGTAAGAAGACTAAAAGTGTAAAAAAATGTGGTCAATTAAAAAGTACTTGCAATAAGTTTATTTGAATAAGGGATTTTCGATTTCGAATTTGTATGAGCAAATATTAGACAGCATTGCATTTTTTACGCGAGATCCCGAGCTAAGCACCAAAATGTTTGTATAAAGGTAATCCGACACCATGAAGTTACGTTTACAATACTTGTGCGATCGGAAATGCCGTAGGATCGGCGTGTATGTCATTCGATCATGGAGGTAGCCGTCTTTCGGAAGTTATCAACATTACATTGTTCGGATCCCAAATTAGGTAGCTGCATTAACATCTATTAAATTTGTCATTAGTTTGAAGCTTAAAGTAGTTTTTGATGTTTTTTGACTAAGTTTTTTTTGGTACCTCACTTTCTTAAAAACTGTCGACGAAAATCAATCAAATTCCCACAATATCACCTAACAGAATAGGCCTTCAGGTATCACGTTGAAATAGACGAGTGGTAATGCAGTTATCTTGAAGGACTGGAGCTACTATGCCGATGATAATACAACAGCCGGCATAGAAAAGGTGAACTTTTACATTGACCAGCATGAGTACGGAACGGCATGCAGACCGGGCCTCAAACCGGGGACCTCAATAATTTAAAACCGCCGTGCAACTACTCTGCCACGGTGATCGTTTATTATTCAGACATTATAGGGTTTTTCGAGGTAGATGGCAAAATGTAAAATAAGCTCATTAATGAGTTGTAATATTTTCAAATTATTTATAAGGAAATAGTTCGAATATTCCCAATATCAAACAAAAAACCCAGAAATACACTCAAGCATATGTTGTGCTAGGATATTTGCTCCTGGCTATGTGTGTGTGGAACCTGGGCAAGCGGGGTGGTGATGGAATGATGGGCGACGGTCAAGGATCGCACTTAATTGCTCGATGTATTCTTGCATTTGTATTTTTATTATAATTATGTTTCAAACCGCGAATGGCTTTAAATTAGACCTGTCATCCCACGTACTGGTGTAAACTAGATCAGAGCAGAGATCGTGCAATTTGAACCCGTCAGATGTTTTTGTAGGTTATTCTATAAGAATTGACCACAAACTTCAGTGGCTTTCAAACTTATTTCAACTTGTTTTATGAGTCAGTCATAGATATTTGGACATTTCAGATGCGCGCCACCCAGCGAAGCCCCAGTGGATATTTAAGCGATGTTATATTTCATAAATACAAATACAAATAGATTATAAAAAATCAGTCTCACACATTGTGACACATTCCTTGATACACTTTAAACCTAATGTTTAAGTACAAGGAAGCAAAACGTTGAATGTAAGACCTCTAATATAATAAGGCATATGTTCAGACCTATCTCTGCTCTCAGGCTCCCGTTTACGGTTTATTTGCCAATGTATATTCTGTTTCCAGCATTAAGCTTTAACGTAGCGATATCATTGGCATTCAGCTAAGTACGTATTACCGGTGAACGTGAGCATACACGAGAAATATCCGCCAAGGAAATTGGTCGATTAACCGAGTTCCCTTCTGCTTGTAAATAACTATACACATACACTTAAGACGACGTAAACAGATGAATTCAAAAGGAGATTTTGTGGTACATGCACACTGGCTCGTCCAAAGTTTTCCGAGCAGAGTTAAGTAGATTTTAACGAAGAAAGAAATTAAGAGATATGAAATGTTCGAATGTACTCAATAGATAATGAGCATTAATAATACTGACTCCAATAGAAAGTTTTAATCCAAACAAGATGATTTTTAGGGTATCCATATCAAAAGGAAAAAAACGGAACCCTTATAAGTTCACTTATGCGAATTATGTGTACTTTTTAGATAAAATTTATGAAAATAATCGATTTTAGATGACTAGCTAGATGTTCCCAACTTTCTGCCTGCAACTAAATATATTTTTTTATAAAACAAAGATTTTGCTAAAATTACTAAAAGTATTTCTATGGCTAAAGTATAATTAAAAATTATATGTAATTTTCTTTGTACAGTCAACTGCACGTCAGGCTATACAAAACAGTCAAATTTCCCCATTTGATTTTAAACCTTACGTAGAATATTGAGGGTAGAGATCAAAATTCATTGCAGGAATTTAACATAATGAAATAGCCTGATATGCAGCAGTGTTTACAAATTGCAGTGCACGAATCCGACTAGCACTAGGTTGGTTTCCGAATATACTGTAAAGGTGTTACACGTTTAAACTATGCTCTGTTGCGTTAATCTAACAAACGATGTGCAGTTTTACCGTACTAATAAAATCAGAATGAATATTCAATTAAAATGGGCCCCATTAATGTTTTCCAGGAAATAGTTATTTATCACCTTAAAATTGGTATATTAGTTGCAATTTATATTTATACTGTATAAATAAAAAAAACAAAACATTGAAAGTAGCAATTTTTAGCTAAGCGTCATCAAAATAATTCATTTGAAATAAATATATTATAATAGGCTCACTCTTGACATCAATCTAGCCCAAGGAAAAAAATGTGAACTACGATGTGAAGAGCTTTCCCAGAAGGATTACCATCGTAACTCATAAAATTTAAAACAAAGCGTGAAGTACGTATGATCAAAAAGAACATTTTCGACAATATAAAAAACGCACGAGCAAACAAAAAGCTTTGTAAAGTTAAAGAACTTTGTCTAAAATTAAAATAATAAAGTTAAATGTTATTTTTAGAAATTCGTAGATTCGTAGACAAGGAAAAATCAAGAGGTCAGTCCGAGAATAGTCCAAGTAAATGATCTTCCAGAAAGACGCTAGAATGTATAAGCAACGAGAATAAATAAATATATTTTATCCTACAAAAAACCAGCACGAAGCAGTAGCTTTATAGTGCGACCTATAAACAAACACGTGTGGTATTTTGTGTTGTGTAGTATACAAATGACTAGTCAATCTTTTACGATACATTCATAATCAATATGAATTACTCGTACATCACTCCCGTGAAAAGAAACACATTTCCAGTTACTTCCACTTGACAGATATCAATGCCAACCAAAAGTCGTCAGTTGAAGAAATAAAATAAAGCAACATTTATAAATTTCTATACCAATCAAACAAAAATTTTAATATTTATATTCATTTTTCTCCTTTAAGGGAACTCAGAGATAGGTTAAAGGAGTAAAAAACAGTGAAGATACAGTATATAAATCTCTGGAATCGTATTAACTTTTCGGAAATAGATGAAATTTCGTTTTCGGAGAAATAGAATCTTCAGGCGTCATGTTAACTCATACCAGTAGTGAATCAAAACATAATCAAAACGTAAATAGGTATACCTGCATATATACATACCTGCTGTTGATTTTCCCTTTGCATGACTAGCCTAGCTTCAACACAGTCCCTTGTCTCTAAAAAGGCACGGCGTTGCGCCAACTCGCGGGGATGGTGAGTCATTATGCCGGAAAGATTGCAAGCCAGCAGAGTCGTAGCAGTGCAGAAAATCTGTCAGAATCATGTGTTTATTTGAATAGGACAACCAACAATACACAAATTATCTATAGATACATAGTTACATTCCCATCATAACGCTAAGAAAGGAATTAAAAATACTAGTATTATTGAGATTGCAAAGTTTAAGTTCATGACTCTAAAGGACAATAAACAAGGGTAGATAGGTCGCATCAGTACTAATACGATGTCAAAAATTGTCCTCAGCATACATGCACGCAGATGGTACGATACTCTCCAATTATTCATGGACTTTAATTAAACATGTCACAGACCAGACGTTTAATGAGTTAATACATGTTTAATGCCTACTTTTACCTAAATGAGTTAAGGTTTCGATTAACCGTTTAACTTAAATTGTTGATGTCTAACATTACTCTATTATTTCTCCTTGTCGTTAGTGATATATATTTGCCCGTGTATAAATAATGAAACTTTTCAAGCGATAAAATAAACCTGACACTGATATATAATATGTTTAATAACACGAGGGCTTCGATCGAAATCGGAATCGGAGTATTTTTTAGCTCCTGAGTTAGGTTTCGATGCCTCGAATTCTATCCCCGGACTGTCGGTGTTTCAGTCTCATATAGATTTTTAAATAAATGTGGGGTTGAGCGTAGGCACTAAACTCGAATTTTCCGTTCTTTTACGTACATAATCTTTGACAGATCTCTTTCACAATTTGTAACCGGAGTATTTACTCTTTCTTACAATATAAAAAACGCAAATCAATTAAAAATATATACTTTCGAATGAAATGTGATCCCATGATCTTTAGTCGACTTATGTAGTATCCTAAAAATATTAAATGCCAATGTAAAAATATTTCACATAGTGAAAGTCTTAGAATACATTTTGTTTATTTGCTTGACAATTTTTTTTCCAATAATCTATATTCATATTTTAAACAGGAAAGATTTTATTTAGGTTGGGGAAAAGTATCTTCGAATTTTATATGACACTTCAAAACATTTTATAGGTAGACATAATATATATTGCTATATAAATTTTGTGGCTTCTGATAAAAAAAACTGCGGAAAGTGGTTTCGGCAGTCCTCGCGTGATGTTAACCTGACACTGCCTAAAGAATTCTGAAGAGACTGAAACAGGTGGAAATCTGAAGGTGCAAGGTCAGGACTATTCGGCAGATGAATTAACACCTTCTAGCCAAACTCTTAATTTTTGCTGAGTAACAATTGTGTTTTATATTTATGTATTTGTATATGTACTTATGTTTATGTGTAGTATAATATTTATTTATGTTTATATAATTGTATATAAATTCTTCTAAAGTGTAGTTTAAGTAGTATATTTATAAGTTAACTTTATGCCGCCATCGTGTATTTCTGTATCACAAAGGTTGACTGGTAGAGAATGCTAATAGCATTAAGTCCGCCTCTTTTACCGATTTAATGTACAATAAAGTTTGTTAAATAAAATAAATGATGAAAAACCATACCCCCTTCTATTGATTAATTCTGTCCGCTTTCTCTCAACTTCTTGCCTTGATCTCATCAGTTGTATGCAGTATAGTTCAGAATCGATGGTCTTGCCTAGCGGTAACAGCTCATAATGAATAATGCCCTTTCAATCCACACATCATCACCTTGTTGCGAGTTAACCCGGGCACAGTCTGTGAAGCTTGACCGAACTTTGATCACCTTTTTCGCATGTTCTTGTCGCACGTGATACACTTTTCATAATTACTTATCGAATTTCTTCATTAGATTCACTAATTTTAACAGTAAGAAAAACAAATGAAAATCACACATTTTCCTAATTGGAATTCAAAGTTATCTTCTTTAGAATTTGAACTTATTAATAATACCGAAACCAGCCAGATAAATATGGTAAATAGTCAGAAAGATTTTATTATATGTTTATGCATACTATAAATATATGCGATATTTGTTGGAAAAAGTATTTTGTTTTGTTATAAAAGTCGTTTTCGGTCGAAAATGAACACATCGCCGTCGAACATATAACCCCCTCCTTTTTCGATCTTGAAGTCGGTTAAAAACCATGTACTTAATCCACCATTTTGTGACAACTGTTATTTTGCAGTTACAATAGAAACCTAAGAAAAAATTATACTCTGTTTTCCAATAACTAAATTTGACTTATCGTTTAATCTAATTAACCCGTTTAACGAAACATAATCGAATGTTTGTAGCGACTAACATTCAATCGTATATGACTTCATGCTTTCTCAATTAATTACCTATTTAGAGAGTTATACTAGCTGTTTGATACCTCAAACTTCAAATGGCAAATTAATATTTGATCATAAATTGAGCAAATATGACGCATTACCCATAAGCCTCAGTATATCCATTACTAGAAAACACGTTTGAATAAATACATGATAATATTATATCTCTATAAAGAAAAAAAAATGGAGTTATTCTGATAGGGATTGATTTATTATTATTTCTGCAATGAGATGTAACCAATAGTATCCATTACACACATTTTGTTTATAAATTTAAAAGAAACCCTAATAGTATAGGCATATTTTTTTTCTATTATTCCTCTTATTAGATTTCAAGGGACTGATATTTTCCTTTTACCTTATATATAGAAGAAATGAAGACAAATTACGTTACAATATTCTCTACATTCTGCTATTAAATACCATCGACAACCTTTAGAATCCATCTTGAATACATAAACATAATGAGATTCATCTCTCGTTTATAGATTTAAGAAGGACAAAAGAATACGCGAGCATTGTTGAACGGTAGGTAATAAACGTCAGTCGGTACTAGGAGTCGCTAGAAACGAGATGATGTTTTACTATTTCCAATGAGAACAGTAAAAAGGATTAACCTTTCATGAGGTATGTAGCGAACCTTCTCAGAATTCTCGAATTGAGTTCGTCCAATTGAATTGTTTTTAGTAGCTATTCTAACATTCCAGACGTTTTAGGTATTTAAAGATTCAATTGCCGTTGAGCGATGGCAAGTCTGTTTAAGGTCACGAATAGGAATTATCTTTACATTTTTTTTTTTACTTTTCCATATTCTAGTACACGTTTAGAAGTCAGGGTCAATGTTTCGAAGATTTCTAGATTAGGATTTACACAAAACATCTGTCGCTATATTGTATATAGCTGTCAAGAACTTTTTTTGAACAACGAACATTGAGTAATAATTTGTGCTATATCCCCAATTTGTTAACGTTCTTCTTTTTACAATAAGTCTAGTATTTTTTTACTTATGGAGCCAGCGCCAGCGAAACGTATGTTTAGCTGTATTTTATTAAATTTAGATAAAAATATAATTAATCATTAAAAGTTTGATACATTGTGACATATTGTGATAATTTGACGTATAACCGTGTGTGCTTGTTATTTTATTTATTTAAGAACAACCCACAAAATATACGCCACAATCATATAGTATAAGGCTTAGAACAATCTTTTACAATGGTGCTGTTTTAATGGTAGGTTTGTTGTAATATTCAACAGTGATTGCTGTTTCAATTCATGAAACTGTGTTTTATTATAAATAAATAGCCCTACCTCACATATCCTTAAAAAATTCAAACAAAAGTAGTGTATAATTTAGCCTACAGGTTGTAATTTTCTATGTGCGCCTTTCAAACGTATGATTAGACATTGTGAATTCTCATATAAATTAGGCTTATAGGGTTAACCTTTAATTTAGTTTTCGCATTTTTGAATACACTTTAATTGGATTCATGGAAAAGATACATATTACTTTTCGATTTTTATTTTTGTGGAAGCTTTATTTTTGTAGAATAATTTTGAACCACAATTATATCAAATATTGGGTTTCTTTTACATAATTAAATAAAAAATAAAATTATTGATCCCTTACGTTACCATCGGAAAGTCGTTAATATTCTCAACCATATTGCCGCCAATTTATATAGCCGTTAAAGCTCAAGGTTTCATTGTGATCTAGAAATGAAATTGGCTGAGCGTACCTGATATCTAGCAAAGGAGCAACCCCTTCAAACAATACCCAAATCAATCTTATTTAATACGACCTAGTTCACGATCAACCGTCACTCCGATAACTGTATCGGTATAAGCCAAAAATAGTAATACGCAGTAGTATCACAATCCAAAACTGTATAAGACTGACAGTTGTATTGATTTTGACGGGACTTTCACTGACAGATAGTTTATGTAATGAGGAGTAACTTAGGCTAATTTTCACGCGGCCAAAGTCGCGGGCACAGCTATTAATAACAAATTTTAAAATATTATAAATAATTTTCTCATTCTTTAATAGTATTTTTTTGAATTTATAATAATGACGAACATATTAAGAGGAATTTTGCTACGAAATAAAAGCGAAGTTGTAAAGTTATCTCTGAATTACTTCACTCGCTGACTCGGTAGATAATGTTCTGTCAAATTAGTCAGAAAGAAAGAAAATTCTTTTCTTTTTCTAAAAACCTTAACGGTTAAACAATCTACCCGATTTCAAGCGGCACAGTTTCACCAAAGATTTTTTTTTTTTTTTATTAGATTTATGTACTTATCTCGGAGGGATCCTGTCTGAAGGTATAGGTATAGATTGATAAAACTTAAGTGGGCAATGAACCGGCAATGCAACTACAGAATCTACACCACGAGCTCAGTGTGAATTGATGCCATTAACAACTATGGTTATATCCGGGACTAAGGGTTTAGACCGGGCTGACACCCTACCTGCCCCTGGCTACCCCGCTACGGGTATAGCTCAAGAACGGTCCACCGTCTAGGCAAAAGGCGATCAAGTACCCTGGTCTTTTTCCAGCCTGCAAGACGGGGAGGATTGGGGCTGGATCCAGCGTGCTCCTTGTTGGATTTCGGGTCCTTCCCCCCGGACGGTAATCGCAGTGTGTTTTACTATGTAGGTGGGCCAGCCTCACTTAAGCCTGTTCTTTTAAGGAACGGTGCAGGGTTGGGAAGCCCTGGTTTAAAACTTAAGCTTGCATTTCCCCGCGTTAAAAATAGGATTCCTTATCATGATATGATACATCATCAGTACTTTTACTTTCCCGCTACAGCTAAGACCTTCCTTATAGATAATTAAGAAGGATGGTTCATAGTGCTGCACGCTGAAGTGTATTGGATTGGAATTAACGTCTCTTGGGCCAAATCCAAGCTGCATTTAGAGTAGAGCTTCACGTTCTTTCCAGATGGAACGGATCCGTAATGGAAAGTCTTGTTTAAGGTCAGCCGACTTCCAACTAGACTAATACTAGCATGTATTTACATGATCTCTGTCTAACAATAGATTTTGTTGTGATCTCGAATGAATACATGTTTCCGAAACAATGGGCTTTATTTGTATTTGAGCTTACAACTGAACACAGACAATTATATCCAATATTAATATTGTACGAGTACATAACATTGTGGTATCTAATATTGTTTAGTTAAGGAAAATGTGATTGATATAATGCGAAATGAAACAATTTACGACTAAGACAATTGCTTCCTAACTGCTCAGAGTATAGTATGCCATATTTTAGATTCATCATCATCATCATCATCAGCGCTTTAACGTCCACACTGCAGCGTCTCAGGCCTTTCCTTATGGATGGTTGAGGATGGCCCATTGCGACTATCACTGCAATTGCAGCCGGGACCAACGGCTTAACGTGACTTCTGAATCACGGAGTAGCTCGGCATAATAATTTTTTGGTCATCCATCCGCTGACCGACCCCTGCGAAAGTTGCTTAACAACAATGATCGCGGACCGTGGCACTGATCCGCTTATCCACTACACCACCGCTATTGAATAATGGGTCTTAAAAAATATATGCTTCTAAAATCACGGAAAGACTTTTCAATTTCCAAATACGGTAAATCTTGTGTTTTCTATCAAATATTTTTTTTTTATTGAAACAACAATAATTTACTCGTAAAACTGAACAGGTTGATATAAACACAATCGAATTTAATTTGCTCACGCATAATTCGATAAATAGCGCAGTGTTTTGCACGTTATGTGATGCGAATATTAAGGAAATTTTGTAAAATCCGGTTTCAGGATGGGTTACCAAAAATTGATTATCTTGAGCTTCTCCGTGCAAGTTAAGTCTTGGTCCCGGTTGCATCAACAATCGTTAACACCTGCCTATTCACCAATTTAGTTCAATTCCATTCATAGAAACCCTAGCCGTGGGAACATTAATTAGTCCGATGAAGACAATGACCTTAGACCGATCGCTATAATGAGTCTTCACCTGCGGGGTTTAGGGACGGAAGGTAAGGCTCATAGTTTATTAGATAAGGTGATTGCGCACAAAACCATAATCTTTCTATCTGATCTTACCTGAGCACAGAAGCACTGGCGAATGACAGGTCAATCAGCAAGAATGTTACAAGAACCACGTACGAAATTGTGAGCAGATATATTTCATTCATCGCGGGCCGACTGAGGCACGCCAGGAGACCTATGGACAATTTATAATACTTTCATATTTAAAGCTGCAAGGAGCTGCCAGTTCACTTAATAAAACTGGTAACTCTGTAAACGAAATAAGAAATATATTTAAATCTATCTGGCAATCATTAGCCTAGATACCTTGCGGGGTAGATAGAATAAATCGAGCAATTCAAGGCACGGACTTTATATATTAGTCTTGGACTGGCTTGGACATTTAATACTTTTTAATACGTGCTCGCCAGTTTTCAGAGCATCATATATCGATATTGTAATAGCGCGCAACATGATAGAACACGGGTCTATTTGAGTATTGATGTGTCTTAATGGTTATACAATTTGTAAATTGATGGTCTGTATTGTTTTTATTAAAAATGAAATTTAATCTATTTTCGAAACGTTAATACAATTTCATAGAAACATACTTTCAATCATGCAATGCAGGAGGTGGGACTCGACATTGCCTCCGGTACCCAGATAATCTTCACGAATATGACTTTAACAAAATTATAATAACATTGTCGTGGACAAATGTGTGAGCCCTCTATTGGGGTTGCTTCAACTGATATTAAGTGCGTCCCGATCAATTTCACCTTATAAGACAGATAGTATTAGGCATATTACGTACAGCCATATGCAAGCGAAGCGATTCCGAGAATGATAATGTTGATGATATGAGCTATACGCTCCTTTTCGTAGTAGTCCTGCTTCAGGGTGAAAGTTGAGTTCCTCTGGTGGTCGAACTGGTAGTCGCTCAGGTTGTAAGGTTGCTTGTGATCCGTCTTGAATCCGTAAGAACTGAAAGAGGCGTTTGAATATTAAAAGGGTACATTTGAAAGGCAAATTTTTTCAATAGATCATGAACCGATACCACCTTGGCAAGAATATATTTTAATCTGCGGCACAAGTGTTCTGTGTATTTTTTGTAGAATTGTTTAGTGGACTAAAGAGTACTTAAATAAATATATATTGGAATACTACTCGCTGCGCACTTAATTGTTATTTAATTTGTGGTAAAGTTTGTACAATTGATTTAATTTTTAAGTGCCTCTGTAACAAAAGCTCGACTCTATCATGGAAAAAATGTCACGAAGTTGCGTATAAATACGTATATATTGTTATTTATGACATATCTATCAGCATATGTGGAATCATTAAAATGGACTTCTTATATAGAATTATCTATGATAACCAAACTCAGCTGTAATGACGTCATATATACGGTTGGTCAATAAAGACGGAGTCATAATAAACGGATTCTACTGGAACTTTAAATTAGAAATGTTAAAAATATTGATTGCATACTGGTACATGTCGTAGTCCGTGAAATTGGTGACAAACGTCAGGTTATTGTCGGGCAGCAGTTTGCTCAGGTAGTTCTGAGCGAGGAGCAGGGTCCTCACTTGCACCAGCAGTAATATGATTGCCACAGCCAACAGTAGTCCGAGGAGGTGGGTCATGTTAGTCTGATTCATTCGGAGAAAGTACCGTTGGTAAAGCATCTCCACCTGTTAAGAAAGAGAATCTAAATTATTAAAGGAAAGTAACCAAATATGTTATATCATGCCGAAAACGGAATACTGTGTTATCACAGTTCTAAATTATTCTATAAATAAATTTTAATACAGGTTCTTTGAAATAAGCTAAGCGAATTCGTAAACGGATTTCCAATATTCTAAATTATTTAAATTTACAATTTTTTCCTTGTTAGGTACAATTTAAGAAAGGATTTCGATATTTCATATAGAGGGTTTATAATAATTCCATATTCAGTTATTTTACTTTATAAAATGACAGTAAAAATCTACCATATCTCGAGAATTTGTCGGGCAAATCCTACAAAAAATTCTAAAAGAAAGAGTCTTTACAGAGTATTAAAATGGGTGGAGTAAAAAGTGGGACTGAATGAAACAACTATTAATTTGTAGACAGTTATAATAAGATACTCGTTTATACTATTATAATTTACTTGGATGATTCAAGGATTTCGTTTCGAAATCAGAATAGAATAATAAAAAATATAAAAAAAATAAAATGTTATTGGTCGTTCGAGGACCAATAGAATAAGCCCTCAAGTTACATGTTAATTTGTGCGAGTTATAGTAAAATTTTCAGTGTGTTATATATTGAAATATATTAAATATTATTTAAAACTGTTACTCCTAATCTTTACAGAAAAAAAGGCGCTACAAAAAATTTTTCAATTAACTACTTTGTACTTACAGCAAGAAGTAGAAAGGATGGTGATTCTTTTTAATTTAGGAAAATGGTGTTTATTTTAATTTCAATGTGACGGTTCAACAGATGTATGTTGCAGGTTTGTCAATTCGAATTTAATTTAGACGTAATCTTGTTGTAAGAAATCAGTTGAACATTAGTAATTAAGAATGTACGCTTTTTAAAATTTTATAATATTTTTAACGAGCGCAACTTATTTCAAAAGTCTCATCTAATAATAAACATTCAAATTAAACAAATCAATAGTCATCGTCTTTCGATCTAAGGTAGCGTTTTCACAAGGCATCCTAACGATAATTTATTTCTTTTCAAAGTCTGTCACGGAATAAGTCACAATTTATGTGACAATTACATGAATTTGAAAAGAATCGCGCCCGAGCTCTTCCAACAGTCGAATCGATCACATTGGGTTTTCTTTTCGCCGTCTCTGACATTGTGATTCTTTACAATAGCTCGAGAAATTACACGTATAAATACACTCATATATATATAACAGTTCGTTTGTTATGTAGGTAATCTTATTTCGTCAATACATTTATTATTATATTAATTTTTCTGTTGTTAGTCCGAGAATTTTTTCGGTTTTAGTGCCAACTTTTTAAGGTAGATTTGTGGGAAGTTGAAATATAATACTTTCAAACTAGCAGTTCTTGTATATATACTTCCGTTTTGGGGAAATAAACAATTATTATTATTATTATAAATCGATATCGCTAGATTTCTTTATCAAGAAAAAATATGGCAAAACAAAGCTCTGTCATTTCTAAATAATATTAATTCAAGAGAGAAAGAGTTAAATCAGGTACAAATTATTTTCCTTTCACCAAATAAAGTTTCTAAATAATCACCACCAAATATCTAAATGGCGTCAAATTTATATAATTATTATCAATTACAAAGGTTATTAGTAAGTTATTAATATATAATGTAGTCACATAACCATTTAAGACAACTTCAATGATACATATTAGATTAATAGTCTAAAACCGGGTTGTCTTGCTAAATCATGGGTCAAAGTTGTTAGATAATTTTCATTAAGCATTATATTTTCATCAATTCCCTTCATCTGTTACACATGAACATCGACCATTAGACGAGAGAACACTTTCAATATAAGCGAAAAGAATATAATAGGTCCCCAACTTTTCTTTTAGGCTAAGTAAATGACTGCCGGATTCAAACAGTTGAATTTTACAATATTTATTTGTTATAAAAAAATAGAATAGAATCATTTGTTATAAAAAAATATATATTTCTATTTATTTCTTTTTCTGTTCACCATTTTGAATGGATATTATAATAACTGAGAGTATTATTATGTATAACAGATGACGAGAATTGATTGAAATATGACGTAATTAGAACATTATTTTACATTAATGGCTTCTTATTTAGCTAGTAAGCTAGGTTCTAAATTATTAATCTACATGCTATCTAAGTTAGTAACTTTATCACAATCAAATAAAGGAAAATGAGAGTTTATCAAATATACGAATTATAGAAATCTAAGATAGGAACTCCTTGTATACTCGACGGATAATTAATCTGTCGCGTACCAACGCATTCTTCAGGAGACGTTTGAAAGATTTCTCCGTTATTTTTGCACCGAATCTTATTGAAATTCTCTGCTGTCAGTATGTAGCACTAACATTAACAATAAAGTGAAGTAATGAGAATTGTACAAATACAATATTATTTAAATTTATCAATATAAAAATTATTAATAATATTGTATTAAATGTACCTCAATAGACAGAGTAACAGACAAGTCTTCTCGCTAGCAAGGAAAAAAAAACAATAGTTACAAAAATATATTAAATCTGGTGAATTGGTGATATTGGTGAGTGAAAGAGTTTTCGCATTGAAAATGATTTTAACTTTTAATAAATCTGAAAATTTCGCTCTGAACATAATGAAAAATCTAATTTTTCACGGCCATAAGATATCATACATGATAGTTTTTTGTTACATGTATAATAATAAAACTCTTACACTCAAATCTATAGTCGAGAGAAGGAATTACTTGAGACAATGTCATAACTTAATTAAATATTTTCAGACTAATGGACAAGAACTTGAATGCAGTTACAAGTAATTGTTCATAGCTAATGTTAATAGAATTCTAACTTTTTATAATTCTTAATTCTGATATATTCTTAATTACTTACTTACTTCTCAATTAATAAATAATTATATATTTAGATATGACATGGACATAACTCGATGGCGCAGTAGCTAGCGCGCTCGGTTTGCGATACGGTTGTTAAGCAACTTTCGCTATGACCAAACTACACTAGGATGGGTGACCAAAAATTTCTCATCTCGAACTCCTTCGTGCTTCGGAAAGTACGTTAAGCCGTTGGTCCCGGTTACATCTGCAGTCGTTCATCATCATCATCACCAGTCCTTTTACGTCCTACTGCAGGGGCTCAGGCCTTCCTTATGGATGATTAAGGAGGATGGGACCATGACCCTCCACGCTGGCTCTATGCGGATTGGAGGGTATTAACGACTGCAAATGCAGCCGGGGCCAACGGCTTAACGTGCCTTCCGAAGCACGGAGTAGCCCGAGATAATAATTTTTGGTCACCCATCGCGTGACCGACCCTTGCGAAAGTTGCCTTACGACTACGATCGCGGGCCGCGGCGCTTATCCACTACGCCACCGAGCTACTTTGTAGACGTTAATACCCATCAATCCGCACTGGGCCCGAATGGTGGGTCATGGCGCATTCTTCCCATTCGATTCGATCACATTCATAGGGAAGGCCTGAGCCCCAGCAGTGGGTATATTAATAGGCTAGTGACGATGATAATAACTCACCAAGTCGTCTCACCGTATGTGCTGCCATCTATGGCGAGCTTGGCTTAGTATTTTCAATCGTTAAAGTCTGTTTCACGTTTACGCTTGTTAGCTTAACGGAGAGCAGTTAGTGACATGGTCTCCGCTTTAAACTTTATCCGTTCATCCGCTTCATGCCTATTAAGGGTAAGCCTGTCCTACACACACGCGTCCAACACGAGTGTTCTGTCAGACGTCACTTGATATTGTAATCTATGTCTACAACGCAAAGGAATCACTACGAAACAGTTTCAAAATTAATTGTTGCTGTTTTGATTTATATTTATCAATAAATGAACTCCGACCGAAGCATCAGTTTTTAACGATATTCTTACATACTTACGATATTTCCTTCATCCTATTTGATGTTATTTACAGCACGCATTCTGTCAATTTTATATCAAACGTCAAAGTGTCACATTAAAAAGTTTATATTATCAACATCACTAAGGTCAGATTACTGATAATTTTATATAGTGGTTAAATATTCATAAATTTTCAATTTTTCCACTCAATTCTCTTATTTTTCATTTCATAAGAACTTCTTCTGACTATAACAAAACCACCAAAAGAAGATATATATATATATCAAATTGAAGGTGATCAATAAACAAGGAAAAATTAAAAGTGAGTCGGTTACTTATGTTTGCCTTATTTATTCAATTGAAAATATTTTTGAAAACCTTTAGTAAGGTATACTAATCTGTTTGACAGGTAAAAATTAAAACAAAATTTAAACTTTTTTCTACCCTGATGGCATAATATGTACACAAAACAGACGCACAAAACCAGGAAGGGAAGTGTTGCTAGGATTTTTCAACACAACAGGTTGTAGTATGAAATAAATAAACTGCAATAATGTATAAAAGCAGAAAGCTCAGATTATTATTAAAAATTTATTTGTACTCAATAGATTAAAAAAACAGTGGTGTTCTATAAAAAATGGAATCGGGCCACTGTGTACCATTACGCCATTTTGATTTAACTAGAAAGAATTACCAAAACTGATGAACTTAAATTATTTGTCACTTAGTCATAAAAAATCTCGTGAGAAAGGAATATGCCGAATTACACATAAACTTTCATAATTGCTCGCGGAACCCAAAAATAAAGCATAGGTTGCTCAACATGGCACCTTAAAAAATGAGTAACATAAATTCTCAGATGACGCTTTTATAACAGCATTTAATCTTATTTATATCATTTCAACTTAAGAACAGGGAATGTATCGTATACTTGATTAATGCCTTACTTAAGGCATAAGTAAGATGCAAATTAACCATCATAAATTTTCATGTTTCGCGTGCTCCGTGTAAAAGCGACCTTATATAACCCTTATGCCACTTGTACCAACATTAACGGTGCCTTTATAGCCTTAGATACTCTGACACACCCGTCTGTTCGGCTTATTATAACACTAATTAGAAT